CCCTGCAAGCTGTGGGCCTTGGCAAATTCCACATGCTTTTTTTGTTGTGTTCTTGTTAATGCTGGTTTCTGAGCACTAATTTGGCCATTGAGACTACTGCGTGCGAGAATTCGTGAAACTGTTCTTGTAGACACAGCGGTTTCTGGTGACCAGTTCTGATGTAGCTCTGCTGCAGTTGAAAAAGGGTTGGCCCTGGACTTTCGAAGCAACAAACGGTCCTCTCAAAGAGTTGTTTTACGGGGTCTGCCTGACCTGGGCTTGTCATGAACATCATCAGTTTCTTCATATCTTTTTTTAATCCTCTCCACTTGATGTTTGGATACATTACTGATGTCTGCCACCTCAGCAGCAGACTTGGTCTGTGGTTGAATCTTTGGCATGTTTTCAGAAGCCAGGCTGCACTTCAAGTGAAGGTCTGGTGTGCTGGGGATCTTTTTATACACACCTGGTATTATGTTAATTACAGTATTTGTCAAAGGTGAACCTCTAATTTGTGATTAGTTGAATAATTAAAAGACATGACAAGACTTTTGTCCTTGCAAAAACAGGTGTTTTGGACTTTAACAAGCTGTGAACATCAGGACACTTTTTGACTGTTTCATTTTGCACCCAGTTATTAATATGAAAGCCCTTGGCATTAAATTGATCCATTCATTGTAACAATTGATTGATTAGAAATAAAGTTATATGCCTTTTTAAGTTACTATGTCCTTATGTGACAAGACTTTTGTCAATGACTGTATAACCCAATAACAAATATTATTTTTCTCTCATGACACAAGTGTTTCATATCCATTTTACGCAAATGGGAAGTGCCACGTTACGAGTTGGTGAACGAATCAATAGGATTGTTTTAGCTAAACTGAATCAAAAGAGCTGTGTACCCCCCCCCCCAAAAAAAAAAAGTTATTTCACCCATCCTTATTGGTTACAGCTAGTGCTGGAGAGCTCAAAGACCCTCCCATGCCACTTAAATCAGTAGTTTGGGAACATTTTGGCTTGACAAAAAATTAGACCAACAACAGAGGCAGAGTAGTTGATAAGCCCAAGACTGCATGTGGGTTCTGTTAAGTGGAACTCGAACATGTTGCTGGAGTCCAGTATGCCTAACTCATCTGAGACAACATCATCCTAGTGTGTGTACAGCCGGAATGAGGTAGAAACAGTCTCTGCAAATTAGTCTCCCAGTGGCATGCAGGACATGCTGTAGGATATAATTGTATCCACAAGTGGAGAAAGCCTATGAAATCAGGATTGAGTGCCAAGAACAAATTACTGCAGATTAAGAGTATTTCAGTGGAAACCAATCTAGATACAAGAATATTGGGACACACCTCTTAATCATTGAAATTAGGTGTTTCATTCAGAGCGGGATCACCAACTGCTGAGGCGCATAGTGTGTAAAAGTTGGCAACACTCTTTTGACTCATTAACTGCATGGTTCCAAACTTCCTCTGGCATTAACTCCAGCACAAACACTGTGCACTGGGAGCTTCATGGAATGGGCTTCCATGGCCGAGCAGCTGCATGCGAGCTTCACATCACCAAACGCAATACCAAGTGTCAGTTGGAGTGGCGTGAAGCACACAGGCCACTGGACGCTGGAGCAGTGGAAACATGTTCTGTGGAGTGACAAATCACGCTTCTCTGTCTGGCAGTCTGATGGACGAATCTGGGTTTGGCAGATGCCAGGAGAACATGCCTGACTGCAATGTCCCAACTGTAATGTTTGGTGGTGGAGGGATAATGGTATGGGGTTGATTTTCTGTGGTTAGGCTGGTGGAGATGGTCTTGACCAGTCCACATATGAACCCTGACCTCAACCCCATTAAACACCATTGGGATAAACTAAAATGGAGATTATGAGCCAGGCCTTCATGTCCAACATCAGTGCCTGACCTCATACATGCTCTTCTGGATGAGTGGGCAAAAATCCCCACAGACACATTCCAAAATTTTGTGGAAAGCCTTCCCAGAAGAGTGGCAGCTGTTATAGCTGCAAATGGGGGGCAACTCCATATTAATGGCTAAGGATTTAGAATGGGATGTCATAAAAGTTCCTGTGGGTGTAATGGCCAGGTGTCCCAATGCTTTTGTCCCTATATTGTATCTACAGTAGGTAGATGGTCTTTGTATACTGAATGTCAGACAATTAAGTTGTACAATTAAGTTCACAGTAGATAATAACAGTGGTTTTTGATTTTGATGCTCCTAGCTCAAATCCCAGAAGGGTGCAGAATTAGACTTCAGTCTAAAAAAACTACAGGAAAATACCCATCTGTATGAACGGCTGAAAGTGTATGCCCCTAAAACTATAAAAGAGGCAGGTAATGAGCATCTTTAGGAAAGGAAATTAAAGTTGCACCAAACCTGAAAAAGACTCCTCAGTAGTGGAGGATGTTAATCATGCTATTATGTTTATTTACTTTTGCATCCGAATAATTGAATAATAATGGTTATAATACAGCAAAATAACGTGTATACCTTGACTCTGGCACTGTACACATATCCAGAGAGTCTGCAAATTCCTTAGATTCGGTTCAGTAATAATCTGTGGCCCCGTAGGGTCCCTCACTAGACAAAAGTAGTTTGCACACATTGACTACATATACATGAGTAATGTTAATTGCTCTCAGTAACTGGTACATAACAGGGATATATGCTTCCAAGCAAAAGTCTTGGGTAGTGGACTGTACAGCACAGGACACCTTAACAAAGCAATAAGCTAAGTTTAAAATAATTAATTATAAATGCAGTTGCTATTTTGAATGTAGTGGTACATGAAAGGCTACTGCAATGCAATGTTAAAAGCGACCGAATGAGGCCCGAGTCAAGGTCATTAGCAGCAAAACTGAATCTCACCTAAAAACTCGGCTATCTTACAGAAAACGGTTTGCATTTTAGATTTGACTAGTTAGATATTTCAACCAGATAACTCAGTGAAAACGGGGAGGGGGTTGGGTGACATATGCCCACCACATATAGTCAGGTACGGTGGCCTCCAATAAAAGGGCAGGTCATTCGATGCACTTTAAAAAGGCATAGACTCCCATGCAAAGAGGAGGGAAAGCTTTCAGAAAATTAAATACGTCACAATTAATAACAGCGAGACTTTGTAGCGGACAACATGTGAAGCGGCGCAGCTTCCCCTGCTGGCTAACTACCTACCCCCCCTCCCCGTGAGGAATGTGGATTATTCGTGAGTCTCCATACTGAGTCTAAGCTTTGTGAAGCATCCAATGAGCAGCTTCCTTATTGCAACCTTACCTCTACTGCAAGTAAGGCTTCCCCAAATCCCTCCCGATCACGTCTGCTTCAACGTCAACCGCTCGATTGTCACCAGTGGCCGTCCACCATCGCTAATCATCTTATTAAACCTGTGTTTAATGCATCCCCGTTCCCGTGAGAAAGCCCCCTTTCGGACTTCTTTACTCCCCTGTCCTTCATTCAAAATGGCGTTCCGTTGCTAAGGCAAAAAACCAATCCGGTGATACAATGAATGCCCAAAGGCCAATCAGGTGCTACGTATTAGACACGTGAAATACTGTGTGCTGGAGTCCGTACATGTCATTTTCTTAAAGGCACAATGCGCATTGAGTAGTCTTATAATTTAGCAAACAAATGGGCAATCTTAATTCCTGGTTATTTCCAATTCGGGTTTATTGGATTATATGGCATTTACACGGTGTTTCTGCTAATTAATCTAACGTCACTAATAAATGCTACAAGATAATTAAGACTACAGGTGTTGCATGATATTATTTCATCATATAAATTTTGGAGAATTTAAAAATAATATCCTAAATCCGTTTTACATAAACGGTTCAAGTGCATAAAAATATATGATGCATATTTATAATATAAGAATTCAACAGTATGTGCGGCATTTTGAAATAGAAATGTTTCCGCCCGGTTTCGAACCGGGGACCTTTCGCGTGTTAGGCGAACGTGATAACCACTACACTACGGAAACCACTGAGAGACAGTTCTTTGCAGAACACTTAATTAAATTCGATTTGTGGTGTTTGCACTTTTTTTGTCCTACGCAGCATATAGGACAAGGCTGTGGTACATTCTGAACTTTACGCAAGGCCATCACAATTAAGGCACATACATGCGCACCTATGGGGAATTTTAAAGCTGCCATATTCAAGGATTTTTATTTTTGTTGTTTTATGTCAGACTATAACCTGCAGTGAAATAACAAGTGGTCAATTATATGAGATTCTGAGCCACAATTATAAATACTTGCTGTCTCTGGTTGAACACTTGAATGCGTTTTATTTTTAATATTGAAATGTTTTCATTCTGTGTGTTTTAAGCCAAACTCTAAACACAGTAGCCAGCAGCTGTGAATGGCTTGTCTTAAAGAGGTTGATAAATACTCTTTATTTGTCCATACTGGACTTCTGGTGGAAACATTAAAGGCACGGCACACTGGCCTGTGTTTGACTTGTATGCATTTCCAGTAACTACTTATTCTAATAGTAATTTGAATTTGGAACTTAAATTCTTTGCTATACTTTTATTGGTGTCCTGTTCAAAGAAAAACAATTAACCAGAAACCCGTGTGAAATCCCTGTTTTTCACTCACTGAGGCTTGGACATTTAGATGTAGTGCTCAAATCCCTCCATCTCTCACAGCTCACTTGCTTTAGTTGTCAGGCCTGTAAATCCATCATTTTAAGGTGATAAATTACATTGATAATTGTATCTCCACTGGCTTGCTACAGACATGCATCCACACACATGTACTCAGCCGCACAGAGAAGTGATGCAGCTATAGCATCTCAATGTTTACCAAGTTGCTTCTCGGAGACCCTAGACGGTCCACACTCCCTCCCAGCTCCCTGTCAGACAATCCACATTTCTGCTTCCTCTCAGCTCCCAGAGGGAGCAGAAACATAGACTGTCTGCAGATCCCCAAGGACTGAATTGGGAAACAGTGGTATATACTAATAATACAGCCAGCATATGGGTAGTTTAATGCAGTTTTTCTCAAATCAGTCCTCAGAGACCCCCAGATTGTCCACGTTTTTGCTCTCTCCCAATTCCAGTGTTGTTTGGGGTGGGTACAATCCTTAATCACTTTCACTATTTTGTCCTTGCACTGTGTCTTGTAGGTGGCCTGCAAGGTGTGACAAAAATGCATGTTTTAATAAAATTGTCTAAAATGTAAGCCTCAGTGAAGCTTTTATTTATGAGTCTCTGGTCCTTTGTGGGAGATACAATGGTTCCGTGGTTTGTTCCCAGGTTGTTTTGGTTCTACTGCCTCAGTCCAAAAACTTGCAGCTAGGTGAATTTGCCTGAGTGTCTGTGTATTTAAGTGCTTCCTAGTTAGTCTTTCCCCAGTCTTGTCATTGAGGTCTGTAGCTCTGTGCTCCCGATTGTGTCTCCCCTAAAATAAATCCCGAGTTTTACCCCTAAGGCTAATACTGCAGGTTCTCCCAGGATCTTTCATTCCCAATCTGGTATTTATACATTAGACACAACATTACATGCAGATACATGTTTGAGGAACAATGGGTGAAATTAAATGTCCGAGACAGACCTTCAAGCAATTCATAGTTTATTTTTCCATTACAGACCACAATTTTGGATCCAGAATGATGCAACAACTGCATATTTATTAAATAAAAAATTAACTGCATTTACTGCACATTCTACTATTTTTTCTGCTAAATCACTGCAAATATATATATATATATATAATATTAATTTAAATAACAAACAACACATATTTATGCAAGTCTTTTAAGATAGCATTTCAAACTTTCCTTAACAAAACTCTTTTTTAATAGTCTTATTACATGCTGGAATGCACTCCTTCACTCCTTCTTTATTGTTATTTTTAAACTGATAATGAGACCTGAGTTAATTTGATTTAAATAGCTGTACAGAATTAGAGTCGAATCAGAGGGGTAGGTACCGAGTGCTCCTTCCCAAAACGCACCATCGCCTCGCCCGATGCTGCCACTGTCCCCACTGCGGCTGGGGCAAACTCGATGACGCTTAGACAGCAGTCACAGAATCCCAAATTAGCGCCTGTGGGAGTTTCACTTAAACAAAAATCTTCTGTGTGCAGAAGAAAAAATGATTGGTTTACAGCAATAACCAATCAGGTGGTAGAGGAGGTGGGTCAAAGCTACTAGAGGAGGCAGGACCAAGGGTGAATCACAATATGTGACCGTATCTGTGTTCTTGTGTACCCGTTTTGCATCATCTTCCATTGCTGAAGACCAGTTCAAATACTTAGAACACAAGTACACGAGGACTGATGTTGGTCTTGCTCCATCTCAGATATCAAGGACACATCAGTTGCATCCTTGCCAAATGAGATCAGTCCCATGACTCATTTTACCTCAAGTTTGTTTTTGGAAGGCAAGTTGGCAAAATCAGTCTTTCCAAGACATCTGATTGGTTGGTCCTGCCTCCTCTAGTTGCTTGGGCCCACCACCTGTACAACCTAATTGGTTATCTCTCTGAACCAGTCATTTTTCCTTCTGGCCTCAGAACATTTTCATGTAAGTAAAACTCCCATGAGCCAAACTAGCTAGTCAGAAAAAAACATGCAGCATGTGCTGTTTATTTGGATAATCAATCCTGTTCTTTTTCTTCATCAGATTATGGTTACATTAATTGGCTAGCATCAGATCGTTCTTCACGTAACATAGCGCGAGGATGCATTGCCATAACGTCATTAGCTAATGTAAGCACCCATACAAGCATCGTGCTCCTCAGCGATTGGTAAGCGAAGGACGCTGCCAGAAAGCGTGGCAAGAGCAAGCGAAAGAGCTATGGCAGTGGAAGCTTATTTTGGCCCAGGTTTACATGTTCAAAATTCAATTAATCTGCTTATTCACTGTTTATTTGTGTTATTAGTCCATTGACCGTATGCATGGGTGTCACTTATGATGCTCCGGACAGCAAAAGATTGAAGGCTGGAGCCATGGAGCTTCAGATCATAGTGGGGTGGGTGCTGGGGGAGGGGGGGGGTCAACAGCAACTTCATATAACAGCAGGCACTGCTAATATGAGACACAAACATAGCTCATTTTGAGATAGGTAATGACAGTCCTGCTTCACCAAAGAAATGCAACAGGCTGCAGTCACAGTCTGTGTTCTCCGCAGAATCAGGAAGTATGTCGATGCATTATATACGCATCTGCTCCATAGACTTGATTCTCTCCCAGGGAAGGACCATTAATCCTTACTTTAATTCAACGATCTCACCTGATCCATCCTCCTTTTTCACGATGCCTCAAACTGCTGAACACCTTTACAATATAAGGCTAAGCAAAACATTAAATTAACAGCTAATTTTAGATTTCAATTAGAAGTTCTTCTGAATACCTGTCATGTAACTTAAAAATGATCCTATTTATTGCATGGTTATGATCTCATTTCCAGGCTTAACACTCCATCTGTTGGTAATTCCTTGACTTCTCCCACATTTTAACACCTTCTACTAGTTTTCTGTTAAAAGACTCTTTGTTTTCTAGCTTTGAGTCAGGACAAAGGAGGTATGGAATGTGACAGATACAGCACCTAGGATTTCATTTAAAAACTGTACCACAAACACAATTTCCTCAGAAATGCTAATTAATCGCTACCAAGCCTCTCCTATTTCAAAGACAGAATGAGGACAAACGCTCATCCCCGATCCAAATGGTTCACCACAGATCGGATACAAAAACTCTTTGTACTTCAAAAGCTGGTTTTGTGTTTCCCATTCTACGAGCTCTCGACCCCCCACCCCCCACCAACCTCCCCATCCACCATGTTCCCACCCATCAGCCACTTCCCATGTCCTTCCGCCGGGCAGCTAGGGTGCAGGCACGGCCGTCTGCTTGCTCCTGAAGGTCTCGAGGAACGAAAGCATGCCCCTCCTGACAGCGGAGGAGCCAACAAACTTAGGGGATGACGGTCCGTGGAAGTGGGACTCATATGCAGAAATGTCAATGGAGGCAGCTCGCTTCAACTTGGCCCCGCCCCAAACCATCTTTGACTTCAAAGGGGGCGTCTGGGAGACTAAACATTTCTGATACTGGACCTGTGGGAGGAGCCAGGACATTGAGAAGAAGCCAAACTTAGATGGAACCTTCTACAAAGAAATCAAAGCCTAAACACATGCTTTTGGAATGTCTGCACCAACAAAGTAATCAAAATTAATTAAATATAAGAGAATTGATCATTTGCTTGCAGTTCCAAGCACATCTAACAATCACCAGTTCATCAGATACTAGGCAGTTAATGGGACACCCTAAGGTGATGGGCCACACGTACCATGCATGCGGCCTGCACCGCCTCCGAGATCGTCCCTGCGTCGGGCTCGCACCAGAACACGTGGCACTCGAACTGCTGTGTGCCCGTATCCACAATCACGCCGAAGGTGTGTGTGTCTCGGCCCACCCCGAGGAAGGTCAAGTAGCGGACCTGACATTCCCAGAAGGGCTCCCCGTCGCCCTGATAGGGGTAACAAAAATTAAGGACATTTTCACTCTGTCGCCTCCAGTAAAACATGTTACAAAAGCAACGGTCAATAACAGTGCATGTTAATAAGCAGTTATTCAGCAGCCATGTATTAAATAAGCACCCATATGTGATAGATGTATTAAAGCCCCATGTGCTGTCGTTCTGTTCCCTGCGTGTAGAGGGTCTGACCTGTCCGTTCCACAGCGACAGTGTCGTTTCTGTCACATGGATGTCAATGGGCTCCCACTCCTCTCTTTCCGTGGCGTCCATGACGGTTTCTATAGCCCGGTTCAGTATGCCCATGCCTGCCAAAGAGCAAGGTGGGCTACAATATCAAAGTGTCAATGCAACTGTCATGCCACTAGGGGGCAAACTCCCTTTGTTCATTCCTTCCTGCAATACAGATCAGATAAACGAATCAGCTTCGTCAAGCCTAGCTGTCGGACACCAACCGTGGCAGCGAGGAACTCAGGCCCACCCACTCAGCATTCATAGCGAGAGATGCAGTACGAAAAAATGATTGTGTCCGACAGGTATGTGTGTGCGTAGTTAGATCAATTGGAACAAATACGCTACAGAGAGGCAAATAGATTTTTCTTTCTTTTAGCTAATTTGGACTTAGTAATGCCAAGACCTATTTACAGTTGAGTCTGAAGTGTGATCTTGTCTCTCAGTAAATTGTTACGGGACTGGCCCACCTCATTTTCTGCCAGTCCAGCCACGCTATGATTTCTGGCTCTTGTATTGTCATGCACCCACTGTCCGGGTGAAAGGAATGACATTCACTCGATTCTTTGACTATCAGGTACACTTATTTATAGCTCTTTTCACTTATTTTAACATTGTACACAATATTTAACTTAGTGTAATTAAATAATAATATCAAATGCTATTATAAGATATAATTATGGTACACCACAAAGTATATAATTGTATTAATTAAGGGCAGCATATGCTTATGTTTTGCTGATCAGATGTAATGGGTAAGGGCTTGACCTTCAAGAAGCCAGCATTTTAATATCTTATCAGAAGAATGGCTGTTTTCGTATTAAAATTGGTTTTGCTTTACTACATTTTCAAATGTGTAAATAGTAATAAAAATTCAGCGGTGAACTGTGTCACCTGCTTCATTTACATTTACATTTACATTACATTTATTTGTTTAGCAGATGCTTTTGTCCAAGGCGATGAGCAGCCGAGGCAGACAGTGTATCATGACAGAATACAGCTGTCAAGGCGCCAATCAGGCATGAGTGCAGCTAGGCTGAGCTTCCAATGAATGACCAATAACTAACGACTGTAAATAACGCTGGCTGCGTTAAGGCTGGGTTGATGACAATGACACAGTGACGCTGAGAACCACAGAGTCCTCTAAACGGGAGTGGGCGGTCTCTTTGTGCACTGAAATGCAACGCCTGACCCAAGGTCTGCTAACCCAGCACTGCTAAAGAGTTGACCTCAACATTAGCTAACTGAACACAACATCTCTCTTAAATATGATGTGAATGAGAGAGCAACATCTGTAAAGTGGAGGAAGGTGCTTGTCGTTACTAGAGGTGGAAAATTCAGGTCCAGAAAGTACAAATCCAGACCAAGGTTTTCGTTCAGCCAACCAGTTGAGTATAAAGAATCACAGTCACAGAGTACTCTGCTGGTTGGTTGAAACAAAACCTTGGCCTGGATTTGTACTTTCTGGACCTGAACTTTCATTACCAAGGGCAAGATGGTACTCTACAAAAGTGACAAAGAGAAATTGCTTTAAGTATGAACCGAATTCATTCATTCAATCATTCATTCAATTCTCCCACCACCCATTCCCCAAATCTGTACTCACCCATGGCCCGTGACACCGGAAGGTTCCCCACGTACTGCACCTGGAACTTTTGCACCCGGTGCCTCATCGCATCCATGAAGCCCACTGCAAATATACAGGCCGATGGTGGTTGTGTAAATCAGCCTTCGATTTCAATGAAATAATTATACAAATACCAGTTTTAATCAGCGTTGTTTTTGCCATTGTCATTCCAGCAGCAGTGTCTGGTTTTTAAATCACTCATCTCGCTCCTTCCCGTATTTTCAAGACTCACAGTTCTGGTGGACCACTGATGCTAAATGCTGCCTGAGCTCAGTGCTAACCCAGGATCTCCAAGGCCCTGCCCTCCTCAGCAGATATCATTAGGCCTGTTCCTGGCCACCCCATCAACTCGACGGGGCTTGTGGTTGCTCTGCCTTAACATACATCATAGATTGACGACCCTGTGATGTTTGAGGGGGGGGGGCACCAGCATTTCATTCGAAATTTTAGTTCCGCTCAAATCACAAGCTCAGAAAACCAGAGAAACCGTAGCAGATATCAGATTCCACTCAAATGCTCTAAATCAAAGGCTTTGATGTTAGACTAGATCGACTCTACAGATCTTTGTTACGGATGTGTCTAACATCTAAAAGAGACAAATAGAAAAAGGGTCTTTCAGAAATAGTTTTTAAAGAAATAATGATGTTATTAAATTTAAAATAATTCTGACCTGTAGTGGCCGGTTCAACTGGAAGTTAGAAATACTCTCAATTCAATTAAAAATTTAAAATCACCAAAATCCTGTTTTAACATTTTTATCATAGCTGCAGTTGTGCCAAAACATTTTCATTCCGGCTCCAGAATCTCTTAGCTTGAATGGTCACGCTCTGAGTGGCACTGTGGCCTGATCACATGATCAGCTGAGGTCCCGCCCACCCAGCACGGTCTCACCCCCTCCCACCATGGTGTTACCGTGCAGGGGCAGGTCTTCTGGGGAGGTGTCCTCCTCAGTGAGCGAGCGAGACACAGAGGAGTGCCTAGAGGCCTTTTCTGCCACTAACTGTACGGAAAAAAAAAACACAGATGCCCACAAGAACTCTGCATCACACTGTGTCGCCAGAAGGGGAACCTGCTTATATAATGGCTGGAAGTAGCACAATGGTTGCAGACATAGCTGCTAATTCAAGTCCCCAGAAGCACCCTGCTGTAAAACCAGAATAATGTGCATAATTGTATAAATACACTAAAAGTTGCTTTGAAAAACAGTAGCTAAGCAGCAAAAGAGCTGCCAAGATAAAATTATTGTGGTTTAAAAATTAAACAGTCAAAAACATCCTGTAAACACGCATATGAATGCTGCTGACAGCCACCCAACTTATTTGCATTTCTGAGGGAGGTGGAACTAGCATATCAGAATGTTTACCAAAGCCAGTGGAAATTTGTGTTGGGACAGCTTGCTACAGTGAGAAACACCATGCCAACAGACAAATAAGAAGTAGGGAATATTGTGAACAGTGAAGAAATACAAGGCAGCAAGGTGATAAATAAAGAGGATTGTGCACAGACCAATACTGGAAGCTACAATACAGATGACATACATTCATACGTTTAGTTCATGACATATAACACGTGCAATGTGCAATTACAGTGTGCATAGAGATCATCAGGGGTGGCGCAGATGTGCACATAGCATTGCATTGTGGGAGGAGGGGCATACCACTGACCTTGGAGTACAGCTTGTGCAGGGCAGCAGCGATGGCCTTTGCTGGAACGTCACAGCGAAACACGTGGCATTTAAGTGTGCAGGTGTCTTTGTCACAGGCCACAAAGGCGAAGTCTCTGAGGAGCAGAGGGTGGGGACCGGAATAAGGAGAATCATACCAGACACATGGGAGGCACACGGGAGGCACGCTTCATAGGCACCACACCTACATGGTTAACATAGCGAATGCCAGTAACTGCTGCCACACAAATGACAAATGCATCAGGTTTGAGCTTCGACTTTTCTCAAACCAGAATGCTATGGTTCGAATGGCTGAAAAGGAGGGCTTTGGGAGAGGTGACCAACCACAGATGCAGATCTTTTTCTCAATTGGCCGGGACACCTGAGTGACATTCGGGCTCTGAGTTTCTAGAGGACACTCTAAAGGCCGCGGTGGACAGGGGAGTAGGGGGAGGGGCTTCATGCAGGAGGCTATTTGGAGGATTTTGTGACCTAATGAATAACAATGTCACGAAGCAATCTTCTATAAAAGTCTGTACGATATCGAATTCCGTAAAACAGAGATGGTTGTGATTTCAGTCCTTGCCGTAAAGGTCAGTAATGGCCTGAACTCTGTGTGAGCAAGAGTGTAAGGCAATGCAGCCCCAGAGGGATGATTATAAAAAAAACAGCGAGCGATCCAGCTCTTCAGCCCAACCTTGGTGAATTGCTTTATATATACTACTGCATTTTAAGCAGAGCAATGACATTCTTGCAGTGTTATTCCGTGGTGGGAAGGAACCATAAAAATTAGATGCAAACACTGCCAGCTCTCCTCAGTCTTGAGTTTCCACCTGCCACGGATATTCCTGCCACCTATTTTTGGAACAGGCACAATATTAAAAAGTCGTCTTCCGTTTCAGTGAAGGCCTCGTGTAGCTAGTCCCGCCCCTCACCCCCCCCCCCTCTGGGGTGTCTGCCTCCTATAAATAATCATAATCCATATGGAATCATTTTCTGCAGGACAGTCACTGCCAAGGCAGGGTGGAGGCCTTGCACGTGTTCGGGTACACTACCGTTCAAGAAAATGTCACTGGTTCTCTGTGATGATGCTCATTCATCAGCCAATCAGAAACACATGTCCCTCAACAAGGTATATATGGCATTCAACCACTTTCTTTGTTTTCCTGAGCCAGGGGAGGGGTTGGGGTTGATCTATGGGCTAAGTCTACTCTTGCTAATATGCCTCTGTCAGGAGAAAAACAAAGAAAGAGTTTGAGGGGGCTGCTAAATTATTAAGAAACAAGAGTACACTCAAAGGGAATAGCAAATGACTGTTTGGCAGCCAAGGTACAGTGCAGAAGAAGCCATTTTACACGGTTCCACAGGCAACAGTGCCACGTCTCCCTAAAAGGCAAAATCCATCAATGTTCTCCATCTTAACTTGAGACAAAAATCCAGCATCAACAAGAAAAGGAAGCAAAGCAGATTGCTCAGCCCCCACCCCCTGCTCTGCATGCAGACCTCAGCCCCCCACCCCCTGCTCTGCATGCAGACCTCGTACACAAATCCCGGGAGGAGAGTGAAGCTACAGAGCTTCCCCAAGCTTCAGAGACACGAAATCTCTGGATGACTTGGAGGCATTGCGTTCGCCTCAGGCATGCAAGGGACATACACGGCAATGCGTTCACCCCATTCCAGATCTGTCTCAGGCCATACCAAACACACTGTCAGTTTGGCATTGGACCATGGGGCACTGAAAATGGTGGATGAGTGGGAAAGCAGAAAGAAAAACCCTTGGATGGATGGCAAGGCAGTAGGTAGACACTGGAAAGAAGTATCGAGGGAGGTCAGAAAATGCAACCATGCAACCCTCAGGCCATACATCGCATATCAGAGAAATTTAGACAAAGAAAAACAGGTTACCTGTCTCTGTTTTTCAAGGGTGGCAATTAAAAAAAAGAAATTAAATGTTAAAACTAAGCCCAAGACCAAGAGGGTCATCAGAGATGTGTTCAGATGCTAAATTACTGTCTGGTGGCAGTGTTGTTCTGTTCTCCCACATCAAAATGCAATTGGCCCCAAATGAACATTTAGCACACCCTAAATGCAGCCTAGCATGATACAAAAGCCATTATTGACCACAGAGACAGTATTGATCCAAAGGGGGAAGGGGGTTGACCCCCACGCACATACTCATTTTATGAAAGTCCAATCCAGTGTCTAGGCATTACTTGACCTGTTCAATATTTGCATCTGTGCAGCTTGCAACCATAAAGAAGTAAACATACTGAGGCACTATGGGGGCAGAGGTCTTGTTATTTACCCCCTCAGCAAAATGTTCAGAAGTGCTGCCAAAAACAGCCCCACCCTGACTCCATCTCCACAAGAGCAATAAGCTGTGATCTTCCAGCATCACACTCAACTTGCCCTGGGGAACCCTGCTGATGTTGCTCCCTCTGCAGCAACCGTGCCTCCCTGGGAATCCCAAATGGTTGGTGCCACACATTCAGGGAACCCCAGTGCAGTCCACACCCTCATCTGTTACGCATGGTCACTGATTGCTATTTTAGTTGTGAGACACGTTTGTCTGATATGAGGTTTTCTCGGTCATAGTGAGTTTAAGCGTTTTCTGTGCGAGTTTCCTAGTATTCTTGGTTTTCTGATCTGACTTCTGTTTCCAGACAACAAGTTCATCTATGCCTCTGTGTGCCCATTTGCCAGTCACCTGACTACTGCCTGTTTTCCAACCTGCGTTTGAATGGCCCTTTGACTGCATGTTTGTCGCCTGACCTGTTTCCCGAACTACACCTTCACCTCTTGTCTTGGATACCGTCTGTGCCCTCTCCGGTTTTGACTTTGACTCTATTGACTTCAATTTTGCCTGTTGGAATAAACCCAGCTCACAGCATCTGATCTGCTGTTGAGTCCTCATTCCAATCGCCATCACACAAAAGTCATGTGACAGATTTTTAAAGATAATTTCAGTCTGGTCATTTGTGTCCTAAGTGAAAATTTAGACGTGCTTTGATTAAAAATCAATCTGGCCCATGATGTTCCTAAGAGGAATGCGCTGACTAGACCCACCAAACTTCCCCAAAATGAGCAGGAATTCACAAGACTGGCCTCAGACTTTCTGACCCTGAATTCCATCCCTTCCTCCCTCTTGATCTGCCTTCCCTGAAGGACACATATGGGTCAAATACAGAGGACACATTTCATTGTGTGTACTGTGTGCTGTGGCGTGTCAACAATGACACTTAATCACTAACAAATGATACAGGAACATGGCTGCCAACATCAGCAGAGACACAACCCACCCTAACAGCTACTTCCTTACCAGGCTGAGGCCTGGAAAGCGCTTCTGGTGTCTCTAGTGAGAAGCGAGAGGCTCAGAAGGAGCTTCTACCCTCAGGCCATCAGACTGCTTAACACTTAACTGGCAGCTGTAATTAAACATTCGCTCCTTCCCCCTGTGCCATGTTCTTTCCTGGTGCTATGTCACACATATGTTGGTTTCCTTTACCGTTCCTTATTTATAACACATTTATCATGCTGTTCCTTTTTGCCTTATTGCTTTTCACTAATTCTTACTATGGGGTAGTTGACCACCACAGGTTAGTCTGACTATACACCTTGCATGTAACAAATTAAACCCTTGAGTCCTCCCTCTCACATTTTTTTCCTATACTCAGGTCAAAGTTCAAGCAGAATGCAGAGATTTAAGAAACAAGGATTTTGTGTGCTTTGTGCTAAATGTATGGTCTCGGTACAGCTGGTACAATGGTTTCAGCCAGTAACAATATCACATTATACAGACACAGAAAGTTAGGCAAATCTTGCCTGCTTCTTTCTCGCTGGCCAAAGAACCTTGATTCCCTGTTGCCAGTTTTCCAGCAGGTCATTTAGCCATTCATAAGCAATAAGTAGCTGCAAGATGATTGACTGGATGTTAATTTTCTCACTGTTGTATCCCATAGGAAATTCTTTTTACACTCGGTCTTTGATTCGGTTATTAACATATTCAACTGGACACTTTTACTTTGACTATTATTTTAGGGGGGGGCCATGGGACTTCCTGAGAACCACTCTGTAGCTGGAGCCCTAGCTTAGTATTCTGTGCATTTAGTACTGTGTGTATCTTGTGTGTATCTGCTTGGTATGCACTATTCTGACTTTCTGTACTGCTTTGCAGGTTTGATATAGTTGTTATATAGCCAAGGGGCCGCATAGCTCTCTGCACTATAAATTGTAATTGAAAGGTGACACGTTCTGGCCAGCAAATTAATTGTTTTGATTAATTCTTGTAATTCTATTACAGTGCTAGGTGTTAGTGAAGTTTACACAAAGGGAAAGGGACTCGTTAAACTGGAACCAAATGGCTACATAACTGCCTTGCAGCCTTTGAGTGCCTCAATCAGATGCATTAAAGTACATCAGAGCTGAAGTGATCAAACACGCCGACAAGTGCCTTGCAGCTGCTCTTAATTATATCAGTCAGACACGTTTGAGTGGGTGTCTGCCCTGGAGAGAATTTATGAAACAACTGACATGGGCTGTGTCCGAATTCAGCGGCTGCATCCTTCAAAGGACGTGGTCTCCGGAGGCGTAACCCTCGTAGGCTGCATTCTTCGAAGGTCAAACAGAAAGCCTAATCCAATGGGACAATCTGGCCTGTGGACAATTTCCTATTTGAGTCACCAACTGTTCCCACTGTTACCTATGAGTCACAAAGCGCCGCTCCTATCGCCTAACAGGGACATACCCACCTTACCTCTGTGCAGTGAATCTTGGGATATGTTGGGCGGTCAGAGGATCCACCGGGTGGATCCTTCACAACTCAGCATATGAAGGACGCATTTCTAGACCACATTTGAAGGGGCCTTCAAAATGGGACAGCCTTGTCACACTGCTGTGTCTTCGGATGCAGCCCTACAAGGATACAGCCCTAGAAGGATACAGCCCTAGAATTCGGACAGAGCCACAGCCTGTAAGTCGCCAAACCAGGATCTAACTGTTGTATCTTTCATGTTGAATCTTTTTCCATCACTTAATCAGTCAGAAGTGAATCCTGTGCATCATCACAGATAGAAGTTTAGAAATAATGAGAATAACTCTAAACTACAAAGTGGTCATGTATCATAAATGAGTTAGGAGTCAGATTTAATTCAGTTTAATCAGAAGTTTAGGTAACTTTTAAGAAGAGTAAAAAGCGACCTACACACATAGATTGCCTTTGACAACCCAGCTGAATCCTGTCATTGGACCAGAGCATGGTATTCCTTACACTACAATTGTCTTCTTCTGGTTCAGTCTCACTGCTTACATGTTCTGCAAACAAACTGAATAGCTCGTACATCTGCTAATTCTGTTTTAATTTGGGACTCTAATGAATGATCTTTAGCATTATCCTACTTCCATGTGAGGGATGTTCTTTGGTAGGTTTCCACACTGTCAGGTTTTTGGTATTAGGATATAAACTCATTTCTTCCAATCTGTATGACATTTAGCGGTTTACTGAAAGTTGGTGTCATTTAGTTAACTGTTTGATTACGTTTCTTCAGTGGCTTGTAATGCATTTACTGGGATGCCATGTATCCCCATAATCTTCCTTTTAGGCAGTGATCACAGTGCTGATCTACTAACCCTTACTGAAGGTACCCTCAAGTATTTGACCTCATGAAATATATCATAGTTGTTGATGTGAATTCTGACCATCTTTGCTTTAACTTTATTCTGTCTGTTACTTGTCCATTGATGTTTTTCAGTAATTCCACTGAAAATTAGCATTTCCTGAAAAGGTCTGTTTATTTTCTTGTTGGTTGATTTTGCAGATGTTCTAATATTGTTCTTTGTATTTCCAGGTAACTTTATGGAATTCACAAATTGGTACTTTCAATAGATATTCATCTTTCCAGATTTTAGCCTTTGCTCTCTTCTTGGTTGCTTCACTGTGTCTCTTCTCAGCCACTTTGATCTGGGATCCTTCCTGGTGACCAATCCATGCAGGATTCCTCCTGCAGATTCCTTTTGTTCTCTGGTTCTCTATCAAACAGTTTAGAAAAAAAAACTTTTTTGTGATGTTTTTCTTGCCAGAAAAGGGTTGCGTTTGAACATAAGTAACCCCTGATGTCTTCCACACCCTGCTCAATGTCTATGCTATTCAAGTTGAGCTCCATCATAATTTGGTACTGAAATTATAATCTTAAATTTAGATTCCTGTGAACTCCATCTGAAGATACCCTAGTATAGCAACAATATTCTGGCTCCTTGAAGGACACACTGGCAATGAAGAGATCATTATTTGCATTAGCTGAATAGTTGCTCTCCACTGGCCAATTGTATTTCCTGCATTCCCAATTCCTCTTTTAATTTCCAATCAACAGGAACATGAACACGTTGGTAATATATCCTGTCTGTTTCTGCTTGAAAATGATCACAAAACCCTTCATTTACTTCTTTATCAGTTGTGGTCCTTTAATCAGTTTTTGGGACATAAAATTGTTATATTTTATGTCAAATCAAATTAATATCAGTTGGTGTTTCACAGCGTTGTCTCAGTTACAATCTGTCCAATGTCCTTCCTGTCAATGGGGGCCATATCATTTCTGAGTAGTAAATGGTATGATCGCCTGACTAAAAGTGTCCTAGTCCAGTTCATCGGAGTTCACAAATATTCAAGATGTCAACTTGTAAGGAATTCCATTTCCATCTTTACCTCATCCAACATTAATACTCCATTACTTCCATATTGCAGTGATACTTTCTTTAAAGCTTTAGATTGTCTTTTGTGAGATTGTGCCATCATCTGGTGGACACCCTAAAGCCCAAAAAATTTGACTTTAGGATCCAAAGAATACTCAACCCTTCACCACTGGCACGTCGAGTGCCTTCTGAGCTGAAGGTTCCATCTTCGAGAACAAGCGTACCACCACCTTCTTCCATGTGATTCGAATTTACATCTTTGTGATCCATTGTCACCATTGTGATCACCACCCCCAACACGTTACTATATCACTGCCTTCCAAAATAGATTTTATCCAACACCTCCAAGACCTGTTTGCCATGGGTGAGTGTTATGACCCCCCCCCCTGCTTTTCCTGCAGTCAGTGTAGTGGCCATGCAGTGACTGCATGTCTAGGGGGCGACATTAATTGCCCACACCTGGCGCCGGTTTGGGTATAAAAGCACCTGCAGATATTTCGGATTTTTCTCCGCTCCTCTCACCGATTACGCACGCACCCCTGCATTTCTATCCCTGCGTTTCGCATAGATAAACTTTTACCTCTAGACGGGTTTTTACCCTTGTGTTGGAACTAATAAATGACGTTTTCTTAAATTATTACCGTGTTGTTGGTCTCCCTTTTTTTATGCTGCAGTCTCACACCAGCCGGCCGTAACAGTGAGCCTGTTAGGAACTCCAGGCAGCATAACTCTTAGCCACCCTGTTGCATGCAAACCTCCTCATGCCTACACAACAAAACACTTTAAAACAATCTTAATTATCTATACTACAGCGTTGTACCAGAAGTTACAGGTCACTCCCTACTATTTCTGGAAAAAAAGCAAGTGCAGGGATTAAGAGTAGAGTGTTGCACAGCGGCCTGAAATCAACTGAGCTGAATGTCAGCAGAATTTTGTTATATAATAAGTCCAAGAAGGCACTCTCTAGCAGTAAAGCTGGAGAATTTTGAGAAAAGTCCTTCCTGACTGTCTTTGCTTCTTGGATTCAAGCCATATTTCATCCACTCATGTTCCTCAGCTTTCTGCAGGATGGCATAACATCCCTCCACCCACACCAAAGCAGCTACGCCATGCCACTGCTCTCTGCCCGCCACACCTGCCATTGTTGCAGCCTACGCCCCACAAACGGATGTTGACGATGAGCTGGCAGTGGATGAGGCCGTGGTCTAAGGGGTCAAACAGGCTCAGCGTGTCCTTCTTCAGCACCATCACCATGTCCTGGCCCTGTGAATAGTGAGGGGGGGGGGTTCAGTCAATCGTTTCAGTGTCCCACACCTCTCGTCCTGCCCCCCTTCACTCTCCGGCGCTCACTCACCTCCCCCCACGCACCCAGCGCATCCCGGCCATCGCACTTGCTGTGAGACAGCTGCTGGATACAGTTGTTGACAGCGATGCTGCTCTTCCCAGGGACCAGGTCTTCCTCAGGAACCTCCACCCAGCCGAGGGAGCGAACGGCGAAACACTGCTGCACAGCAGCGGGTCCATGGGCAGAGGGTAGAACAGGACACAGGAAGGAGGTCAGGCACACACATGGCCGTCAAGCAGCCAAACAAGGGGCACGGGTGGAAAAATAACAGCGAAAGCATGCTGCCTCTTGTATTCCGTGAACAAGCTGTGGGACCTGCCAGGTTGGACGACAGATTTTTACCCCGAGGCTGTCAGGACACTCAGCACCTTACTGCCTACCCGCTCCAACTACCCCAACCTAAAAATACCCACACCCTCCCCACCTCACCAGCACTGCTCACTTTACTATTTATTTACAATCTACTGCCACTGTATACTGCTATATCACTCATTACCAATGTTCACATACAGGTACAGTATGTATATACACTGCCAAGTGTTTTCACACTTTTAACATTTACTGTGAATTCCTGCCCTTGTCACTTGCTGTCTGTTGAATTGTGGCCCTGGAGGAACATTATGTTGTGTCACTGTATACCTGTGTAGGATGGTATGCAGTGTTGGGCATTTCAGGTTCAGAAGCTACAAATCCAGACCACCCAGTTCAGCATAAGGAGTCACGGTCACAGAGTACTCAGCTGTTGGGTAGAAACAAAATCATGGTCTGGATTTGTAGCTTCTGGACCTGAAATGCCCAACACTGGTGGTATGACAAGCCCGCTTGACTAGATTTGACTTAACATGACTCTGCACTGAAGCTGTTAAATAGCCTAATACGATTTACCAATATGTTGCCTCTGGAAGTGTATTAAGTCCAAATTAGTTCGAATTATGAATAAATTTCAGTTTCAAACATTTCAGTAAGAGTATGAAACACAGTACTACATAAAAATCGCCGTATGGGAGAATAATTTGCATTGCTGGACCTTGCTGGCATTTTAACATTTGTTTTCCAGTTACACAGGGAGATGAAAGTGTTGTCATACCTTGGAATCCGGGTCCACGTTAGAGGAATAATTGCCAGACCAAGCCAGCGAGTCTCTGTTAATGAAAGAAGACCAATCAGCAGGGAACCTGAGCAGCCAATAAGGATTGGGGGGCGGGGGCATCGTAGGCTGGTTCCAGCTCAGCCAGTGGCTTAGCGAGGTGCCGCTCTGTTGCCCTGGCTCCAGCCCGCCACAGACACGCATGCGTGAGCTGGCTCGTTTACTTCTAAGCGGCTGGCCAAACCCACCCCGCCGATCTCCGCGGTTGGGCTAATGACAGATGGTCCTGTAGAGTCACCATTCACCTGATATAAACGCCGCCCCCCCCCCCTCACCCCGTCCCCTTTTGCACTCTGCTCAGGAACAGACCTGGACAATATCCCATAAAGACAGACATCTGTGTGGCCGATTGCTCAGAAACATGGCAGGATTGTGTCCAATCAGTCACCGGCACATTTGTTACATAGTATTTAAGATAATGGGCTTCTTGCACAACCAATCTCAAGATGCACTCAGTTGAAACCTACTGGAACATCCCAATTTCCCCAGATGTAATTCTTACTGTGTAATTTGTTTAATGCGGCACACTCCAATTTACACAGATTTCATTTTTTGCAGGGCTGGGGCCGGGGGGGGGGGGGGGGGGGGGGGGGGGGGGGGGGCGGGAATGGCAGGTGACATGGCTGCAGTAACCACACCGGGATTTTAATACCTGGGAGAGAAGAATAAGGACTTTGCAGAGAACCTACTGTAATTCTCGCCCGTGCCAGGTGGTGTCTTCACATGTGACCTAAACTGAAAGGGTGGTGCAGAAGCCTTCTGAGCGGCACAGAGTAACCAAAACGGGAAGCACTTTAAATAGCTCTTGCTGAAGGACCAGGTGCTCAGGAGGGTCCGACACGTGCCTGCCTTTAGCGCATCTCGTTAGCAGTTGCTTTTAATTATTTCCCCAACAAAAATAACATAAGAGCATAGGTGTCAAGTCACATGGTTATTAGGCAATTTTGGCAAATGCAAATCTCCCACCTCTATCCCGATTGGCATAATTGACCAAATTTAAAGAAGTGGGTTTTTTACAGGGTTTTTCTCACCTATATCACTGTTTTCACTGCAGCTACATTGACATGTATGTGAGAGTCATTCTAGTGGTTGCTTGAATCGTTTCAGTGTGGATCTTAACAGTGTGATTTGGTTTGTTCCAGATGATGTCATCTTTAACAGCCATATGTTATCCCCCGACATAATGGACTTGGAACATTCCAGTACATTATTTTCATATATTACTCTTCATTTTCGTTTTTCCCTTATTTTTGTTTCTTACAGTCCAATCACTAGCTCATACCTACAGAATGATTTCAGCTGTTTTCATGAGGACATTTTATTTCTCGCCGAGCTGAACGTGATGGATGCTGACATCACTGACAAGGACACCACATGTCAAATCAATTAGCTGAGCTCGGGTAATAACAGCACAGCCTAATGGTTTAAATAAACACCATTTGGGTAGATGAGGGGTAATCCAGGTTCCAGTTATGATTAATTACCATATTTACAAAAGAAGCAGCAGAGTAGTGATGTTATAAACCACCCACCTGTCATTGTGCCTAGACTGGAAGGTCCTTTAAGTAGCTTCTTTCACCCCTTATTCCACTCGAATCTCCCAGCATTGCCAGTCAACCAAATATAAGTTAAAATGTGAAAAACAAAGCAGCGTAAGTCTGCCCAGAGGCTGCATTATTGCCGTCTCTCTGACCTTGAAAGGTCACAGTCTGAGACGCACAGCCTCACGCAGCATTGCGCTGGCGGAATGCTCTTCGTTTTCTCCTACAGCACTAAATACCCCTGGCGGAGGCCAAGTCCTTCGTGGTCTCCGTGACGCTATCACAAGGAGGCCAAAGCCAGCGAGGGCTGTGGCTGTGTTCAGCAGACCCTCAGAGGGGTACCACAGGCTAGCAGGCCTCCTCCGCGGAACGTGACGCAGGCGTAGCTCCCAGCACCTCCCTGCTTTAGTCAGAGCGTAGGGTTTGTGTGAGAGAAATGGCTAATGGGGGGAGTACTGGACAGCAACAAGGTTACATTAGTCCATGCGCATACATGGTCCGGGCCGTTTGTGTGTGTTCCTTAGGTTCAGCTGCTCTCTGACGTCACAAAGATTGTGCGTGCGCGTGTGTGTGTGTGTATTAGGTTTATATTACATTGTGAGGACCAAATGTACCCCACAACGTAATAAAAACCTATTATTTTGACGTTGTGGGGACCATTTTTCAGGTCCCCAAAAAGATATGTGAATATAGTCAAAAAAGTAAAAATGCCAAAAGTCTTGTTTGGTTACTTATGGTTAAGATTAGGGCTTGGTAGGGGCAGAAATGCATGAAGAGTCCCCACAAAGATATAATTACAAACCTGTGTGTGTGTGTGTGTGTGTACATGTGCTTGGATACACATGTATACAGTGATCTGTAGGATAACTGATCTTCGCTGAAAGATGAGCTCTAGGTAGAGATGAATTTAATCGTCAGGCCTGACATGAACGCCAGTGGGCTGTTAGACGCCAATGGCATATGGAGCTTGATCCTTTACCCTTGGCTACAATGTCAGTTGGGAGGGGGCATGGCTGGGGCTGGGAGCTGAAGAGGATCGCAAGTACGTGAGACACGAAGAACAAAACCATCTGGCCGGTCTCTGGCGACGTCTCCCTACCTGTCATTTACGGAGGACAGAGGACTCTCGATGGACCTCAGGCCCTGTGAAGAAAGTGAAGGGCAGACTGGTGATGTCACCGTTGTGGCCTGTTGCACGAAAACAAGGAAGGCAGGAAGCTTCAGGAAAAGGCACCTTCTGGCTGCTGGTGGCTGTGTTCTGGTCGTCCTCGGAGCCGTAGGCTGGGTGCTGCCACTGCGTGGTTCCCGTGGGCGTGTGCCAGTAGTACTTGCCGGTGCTGTCTCGGATAGTCCGCCAGCCTGGGGGCAGATCGGAATCCAGATCCAGGTCCTGGTCATTCCAGAGATTGTCTAGGGAAAAATTGACAACCACATATTATGTTTACGTGAATTACTGTAAGGACATACTGTAGATAATGTGAATTCACATTGGTTTATCATTTATGGCTAAAGCCAAAGAGTTTCCACAAATGTTTAGTGCTGAACACAGGGCCAGACCCTAAAGTGTCAACCTCACCTATGTGCAATTCATTACATCACAAACCCTTTAAATATCTGCCACAATACCAGTTTCAGATCACAAGATTTAAATTAAATTTAAAATGTTTTATAAAAAAATAGGGCTGAAATTGACCAGTGTAAAGAGTCAGCACTGAGACAGGGATTCCAGAACATTTCTCCCTGAGAATCTTGCACTCGATCTTCAAATTAATAGAACTGTATTGATGTTTCTGTAAATTCACCTGCCTGTCTCCCTGTCTCTCTTTGAGCAAAGCTACACTCATAACTACAGCAGACAGTCACACACAGGAGTGACTCGTGACTCATGCCTTCTCAGAGGCTGCTGGATTCTTGCAATGATACGAGTGTCTCAGTCGGCAGGGTGGGGGGGGGGGCTGTAAATGAAAAAAGTGGCCTGACGGGAGCCTCAGCAAATACCCCAGAGAATTCGCCTCTCAATACTGGGGAGGAAGCGCAGTCACGTGACACAGCTGCTCTGTTACGTTGTCCAATTGAGGTTCGTTTTAAAAAAAGCCAATGTGGAAGGCAGAGAAGCAGGTGATTTAAAAATACACAAAGGGCAAATATTTATGGCTACAGAAAGACCCGGAAGGTTAATGGGATACAAAACACTGCTGTGTAGGTCATTGTCAATATACACAAACAGACTGAACGACTCTAAGATCTCTCTATTACACAGAGATACTTGTAATTATGACAAAGATTAAAAGTCAAGCAATAAAATTACTCGGTGGCTCTTTAATATAAAATGTCTGCGTTTCTAATAGACTGTTAAGAGTGTTAATGCCATCACTCCACTCTCAGCTGCAATATCAATATAATTAATAGATATGATAGCATGTTAGTGCCATAAGTACTAATATCTGTGGCTTTTAACTATGGATAAATATGATCTAGTCTTTCTCCGGCCCAGAAGTATTCATTTGGCATTAAAGTAGACATTACCTGGTATAGGTGACATCAATGGCAAAGAAGCAGAAATGATCTGGTAAAGGTGACACCAACCTCCAGCAATGACTACCCAAGAGTCAGATAAAAAAACCTTCTTTCATCTCGCATGTCTACGTTTACAGACAGTGAATCAAGTAGTGGATGTTCCAGACCATCAACCTGCTTCTCTACGATGTCTCTCATCCCATGCCAGGCCTCTCCCAGGTCATCCTGTTTACCCCCCACCTACCCCCCCCCACTGCTAGTCCTGCCCAAGGGGAGTAATATGCATCAAACATCAAGGGACAGATACATAAATACTTATCTGTGACACTAACACCCCGTCGGATCAACAGTAGCTGTTCTGTGGTTCAGATATTATATTTCTGGTCATGTGATCTTGAATGAAAGCTCACCTTAAATGTTCGGTCTATAGATCTATTGATTTTAGTAGAAGTCACTGCATAATTCAGTGTAGATTTAGACCAAGGGTAGGCAGCCCTGATCCTGGAGTGCCGGTACCCAGCAGGTTTTCCATCCCACCTGGTCTCTGATGCACCACACCTGATGTCAGGCAGATAGAAACTCATCAGGTAGCATAGAAAACCTGCTGGGTATCAGCACTGCAGGACCAGAGCTGCCTATCCCTGATTTAGACCTTTGAGCTATGAACTGTACTTACTGTACATACATGTCTGGCTCACTATACCATCGAAATCCAGCAGCCACAGTTGACCTGGCTTTATTTAACTGAAAGATAAAGGTATGAAGAGCGATAATCACCTCTTCCCATCCCCACTGCCTGGACACATCACCAACCAGGGATTTAGAGACTTTCTCAGAGGCTGGATTGGATCTCTTTTTTCTGATCTCACGTTTCCTGGGCTCTTTCTCCCAAGGAAGGCAGCACCCTGACTGGTCTTTTCTTCTGTACCATTCTCTGGACCCAGAAGAACCTAAGTGCAAAGTGCACTAATACTTTTATCATCACGTTCAATATATCCTTCGATACCATTTCCATTTGCAGCCTTCAGTGTAATATTCCCCAGGTAGAGAGAGAGAGAGACGTGTCTTTGCAGGGAGAATCTGATTTCCAGGAACAGTCCAACAGAAATTTCCAGACATTACACATTACCCAGAACTCCACTCTTTCTCGCAGATATGCACGCCTGAAAAGCCTGATTCAAACTCACATTAAATTAATTAATGAATAGCTCCTAAACCCCACAGCTCAAGATCTCAAAGAATGAAATACATAATAAATTTTGGGTCTTTTATTCCTTAAAAATAATAATTTGTTAATATAACCACAGCATCAGTATTGTATGTTTCACAGCACACACTGAGGACACGTTTTGCCTACTGTTGGGTCTGGTGTTATAAATCTGTAAAAAAACTTAGAATGATTGTTATTGTTATTGCTCTGCAAAGCATCCATTCCCACAGCAACAGCATAATAAATAACAAAGCAGCTCAGTCCACTATTACCTCGTTCCTCTAAGCCTGAAAAAAGTCTCAGAACAAATCCGTCCAGCCCAGCTTCGGACATTGCAATGCTATCTGCAGAGAATTATGGTAAAGGCCATAGACAAGCTGGGCAGTGTGGTGGCGCAGTGGTTAGTGCTCCTGCCTCACAGTAAGAAGGTCCAGGGCTTGGTCCCGGGTGTGGAGCTCACACACTCTCCCTGTGTTTGTGTGGGTTTCCACCAGGGGCTCTGGTTTCCTCCCATGGTCCAAAAGTGTGCAGAGCAGGTTGATTGATAAGTCTAAATTGGCTGAGTGCCCTGTGGTGTGTTGGCAGCTGCCCAGGGTTGGTTCTTGGGATGGGCTCTGCTCCGGTCCCCTGCCACAGCCCCAGTTGGGATTACGTGGTTATAGTGATGGCTGGCTGGCCTAAAACAAGCCGCAGAAGATTAGACTAAGCAGGGAGGCTTCTGGTGAACTCAGACCTGATGTTTAACAGCATTGGCAGACACTGATTCCAAGTTTAGGTGATTTGGATGCTTCTTTATTGATATGTCGATTCCTTGACGTGCATGACCTGATTGCCCAGCTCATTTCAGGAGCTCAAATAAGCAAAAAAAACAAACATAGTGGTTTTAGGGCAGGGAGGTGTGGATGCTCTCAGTTGGGGGTTGAAATCTAGCCCTCTTGCTTGCATATAGCTCTGTCAGCTGCTCTGTTTTACTCCCAGTTCAAAAACATGCAGCTAGATGAAATGGCACATTTGACATGCCGGAGTGCGTGACCTACAATGGGGCAGCAATGCATGCACTCTGGGTTCGGCCCAATTCGGAATTGGATGAGGAGGTATGGAAGGTTTGTTTCTAGGTTCTAAAAAGATCAGAAAAGAACCAGACCTGACATAATACCATCACAACAAATGTTTTGGAAAATGCAGAGTTAATGAAGGATTAACCAAGATACCCCAAAACACAATGTGAACGTCAACGGGCAGTGTCCTGGGTCTCCGAGCCCTGGCTGCCAGCCATCGTTGCTACGGGTAACGCCATGAAGCCATGAGTCATTAGCTTTCTCCGATGAGCCCTTCATTTCTCCCCCGCTGTGATATCTCCTTCTCTGCTCTCTCCCCATTCCCCTCGCACGTCTTCCAGCCGACTCTCCCCCACGCCTCTTCCCACACACGTCCTCACCTTCCTGCCTCATTTTCATCCTCCCTCCATCCCTCCATGTCATTAATGCACTCGGTCCCCGGCCTTTCCCTCAGCCTCATGCAGTCTCGCCCTCCCTATCACTGCCTGCTTCACTCTCCATATTCCCCACAGCCGATTAAACGATATCATTCCTCCACTGTGAATGCATGGTAAGTCTGTCCTCATGAGTATTTAGGCTTTAGTTTGCCAAAAAATTGACAAATCATCAAAATCCAAAACCAAGCAAGACGACTTTTTGGAATAAACTTTTTGTCACTCCCCCTCATCTCCCTCTCCTTCTCCCCTCACATCTCACAAATATATATATTCAAGTTTCAGTCAGAAGATCATGTGATCCACCTTCTTCCTTGAGAAAGGACCACAATAAAGCTCAGAAAGATGGTCTGTGTGAAACAGAGGTTCTTTGCTACGGAATGACGGCTCATTAATCGCAGCTCCGGCGGGTCCTTTCGCTTCCCGCTGTTTAATTATGGATCTCCGCCAGGCCCTGAACCTGCAGTACGGCAGCCTGGCACCATGAGTGGGAGAGGCAGGCCAACGGAAAGAGGCAGGCGTCACCCCTGCGACAGCCAGCCATGGCTAACACAGGACGTGGTATGAAGCTCACACGGACGTGGCTCACGTGGAACGCGTTTTGGGAGGCGTCCAAACGACTTGAGACAGCTTGCAACACAGGTCATAAAAATAGCCTTATTCTGCACACTGAAGGGTGTTATGGCCTGGGCGGGGGGATTGTAAAGCCCGCTCTTGTGGACTTCCTGCACCTCTCATTTCAGTAAAACCATAAAAGACTTTGCAGTGCACTGCAACTGGATCAGCAAGGCAGAGGAGGGCGGGGAGTGCGCACTGGCGCGCTTTTCAGCTGCCAGTAAATCCAGCTACATCTGCCGCAGCGTGATCCCGCAGCAGCGTTCGGGGAGGACAACGCTAAGCCCCTCCATGGACACTGGCACAGGAGAAAGTTTGATGCTGGGGGAGACGCAGCTTAATAATTTAAATACAGTGGTCTGTTTATTGGTTGATGGTGATACCAGGTTACATATTGGGGGCTCTCTTCTCTCCTGTTGCCCCGAGTCCCTACATCCCTGTCCACGAAGATCACTGCACAAGACATACAAGACCATGGATGGCAAGATAGCTGGAAGCTGAAAAATGTCCCTGAACCCCCCCCCCCACCCACCCTGTAGGCAGGCCAGAGGCAAACATGACGCCAGACGGGGAACGTGATGCCTCCCTCTCGGTCTGGACACTCACTGCCGTCACAGGTCCTGTAAGCTCCACATGCTCTTAGGATTAGGTCCCAGTGTCACATCCCAGTCACATCCCAGTCACATTTCAGTTACTCTCATAAGTCAGCGAGGGTCATTCGTGTGAGCAAAATGCCCGCGGCAGGTGCACCTCCACTGCATCGCTCTTCCTCCATTCCCTGCACAGGTGTCTCCTCCAACCTGCCATTTCCCCACACCTCCAACACCGTGACAGACACAGTGGTCAACCCGGTGGGGGGAGGAGTTATTTCGAGCATACAGAAGCACGTCACGTAATGCCTGAGAGAGCAGTCATGATGAACAAGGTATCGTTTGGGGGCGGCTACATTTTTTGGGCAGCAGGAGGCGGGAAGGAGTCCCAGAATGGAGCCGGCTGCTGTCCCAGAAGCAAAGTCATTATTGAGTTATATAAACGGGACCAATGCATGGTTCTGATGCACAGCAGCCATGATCAAGCTAAGTTTCCCCTCAGAACCATATATAAAACAAATCATCAGCCATCTATCACCCAACTGCTTACCCAGTACAGGGGTGTTGTGGGCTGGGCCTCAACCTTCAGCTCCCCCCACACACACACACACACACGCGCACACACACACAGGCTAAGATAAAGACGGACCACCAATATGCGAAACAAATTATTAAAATACTTCATTATATAACGATTGAACGTAGCCAAAGAATATGATGCAAATATGCATCTTAGCAGTAATTTACAATTAACACAAAGGCAGAACCAAACACAAAGGTATCAGCAAGGCAGATTTTTTAAAATATGCGACGGTTGTTAATGATCAGTCTAAAAGGAAATATACGGAACGCCTTCCTGTTTTTAAGTACGAGGCTCTTAAGAAGCAAGCTGTACTTGACAAAGCTTTAATTGGAAGGTGTGAGACACAGGGTGGAGAGGAGGGGGAGTGTTTGGAGAGCAGAGCTACTACAGAGAGCGTTTGGACCGAAGCTGATTATGGGATGCAGTGATGACGCAGGGCGGTCCATCCTTTCCTTTATGAAGTTTTTTATTTTGTGCCCAGATGTCGACCCTTTACATGCTCTCGGTTCCTCTGCTGTTGATGTAGTTTCGAAAGTGAGCACAGACAAACCAAGGTATATCTGGCGAAAAGAGTTATCACTGCATAAGGGTGCAGTGGGCTAGGAGGGGGCAAGGGTTACCAAGGCAACACTGGCAAATCACAGTCAGGATCATTATGAAAAGGATTGTGGGGGGACAAAGAGTTTCAAAGCGCTATGCCTGCAGGTGGCAGCACCTGTCAGGTGACCCTGCTCTTCCAAGTGGAAGGTGACCGGGGCAGAGGGGACACCTGATGAAACAGAAGCGCGCCTCCGTCCAGCACTGACACCCATGAGCTCCCACAACCCGCTCGGTTAAACTGACAGCATCACATGACCACCACGCACACCACCTATCACTTGGCCAGAAACGGCGGCTCTCCAAAAACAAGCGCGATGGAAAAGGCCACTCACACATGCAGACACATGGGCACGGACTCAGAAACGACAGAGGGGCGGAGACAACGGCTGAAGGTGCGAGCATCCAGTAGAACAGAGAGAAACAGCATCCGGATGGACTCACCCTCATAGTTGACTATGATGATGGCTAGCATGTAGTCCTTCCCCAGCATGTTGAGGGCTGCTCCGGTCCGACTCTGGTCGACTACAGTGCATCCCAGTCCAAGCTCCGGATCTGCTGAGGGAACTATGTCCCGGGCTCACAGCAGCATGGGAACGTCTTGCTAGGAGCTGCTCTCGCCTGCTGGAGCCTGGGAGGAGATATAAACTATACTAAAGCCCCCTCTGTCCCTCTCACTCTGTCTGTGTGGCCAAATCTTTGTCTCTGTCACACAGTGTGCAAGCCCAGCCCAGCTGTAGCGAGGGAAACTAAAATAAGCCCATTTTCTTCCCTGCCTCTTTTCCCCTCCCTGCCTCTCGCTGCTGCATTAACTCGTGTGTGTGCTGCGCGACTGCCTCTGCGCGACTGCCTCTCCGCGACTCTGGTCTCCACCCCTCGCCAGCCTGCGTTTAATAACGCCTGCGGCTCTCGTCGTCACTCCCCCTGACTCCCCCATCCTCTCCCCTCCCCTACCTCTACTGCTGCTCCTTGGCTCTCCGTACCTTAAGGATGCCCGGGAACATGAATGCGTCCGACGTGGGTTCATGGGAAAGTCC